GCAGGCATGTCCTTGGGAACGTCAGAGGAGGAGGCAACTCTCCGTTTGGGGGTCTCAAGGGCCCACAGAGGGAGAGTGACATGTCTGGGGTCACCAGCAATGAGCAGGCAGAACTCAGGGGAGGCCCTGGAGCCAGTGTTTCTGGGGGAAAGAGGCTCCTTGCTACACCATGTTCCAGAAGATGTGGTCAGCTATGCCAGCTGCCCTGTCTTAGCCACTTAGTGCCCAGATCCCCAGAGCAGAAAATGCCCGAGGGGCCAGCTATCCCACCCGAGCGCCCTTACTGCCTCTCCCTGGAGTTAGACTGCTCCAGGTCCAGCCATCTCCTTCCTGTCTGGCTTGGGACCTTCTGGGAAGTCTTTGACCTTCACCTTGGGTCACTGTTCTCACCTTTTGTGGGGAACATCTCCGCTGGCTGGACTGGACAAGGTTGCTGTGGGGCATGACTGAGTCCCTTCTCCTCCAGTTAAGAGACCATTTCGGGGAGCAGAGTCATGGTGCCAGCAGCATAGTTCCTCTGACCTTCTCGAACAATCAATGTGTGCCTCCCCGAGTTAACACTCCTGCAACAGCTTAGATGCTGCTGCAGCTGCTAGGGCCAGCCAGCCCTGGGGCCCAGCTCGAACATTTCCTGACGTGATCCGATCGCTGCACATGGATGGGGGTGAGATGGGGGCAGCAGGGGATGCTCACCCAGGCTCACCTGACCTGGCAGTGCTGTGAGAGACTGGGAATCTGGAAAGAGCTTCCCCAGGGCCATCTGCACATGCAGTCTGGGAAGAGGGACAGGAAACGTCCATTCCATTCTTTAGTGCTGTGTGGACACTGCTCTTGAGACCCCCGTTGTCCATTCTGGACCTCCTACAACCCCCAGGACCCCATTTCCAAAGGACTTTGCACTCATGATGCCCTTGCATCCTTGAGTAGGTATGGCGGGGATGCATGTCCATACTGCCAGCAAATGGTGAGGAAACTGAGTCAGAGAGGCAGAGAGCAGTTCCATGGCGACCACACTGGTCCCAGGCAAAGGGCAGGGGTGTGACTGCAAGCAGCTCACTGTGTGAGGTCACTGTCCTCTTTAGGAGAGGTGCCAGTGGGTAGGCGCCTGCCCCTGCTCCTGCCTCTGTGGCACAGGACTCCCTCCTCCAGTCATCCATAGCAACGCGCAGCGGGCTCATCACCATGACGCCGGCCTGCAGCGGGAGGCGGGAGGGGAGGCTCACAGGAACCCCCGACGCAGAGGCTGCTGTGGAATGAAGGAATGTCAGGGGAAGGGGCCACGAGAGCTCGCCAAGCTCACTCCCTGCCTAGCCCAGAGAAACTGAGTCCCAAAGAGGAGAAAATACCGCCCAAAGGTGGGACAAGCAGTCAGTGGCCCTGCTGGAATGAGACCTGGCCCCCACCAGTTTCTGTGAAGTAGTGTAAGGTAAAGACTTCTCTGGCTGGTAGAACCCCATGTCCTCGCTTTGACACAAGGGTCTCGGGGTGGGGGTGAGGGGCTGCCTCTCCAGAGGTCTTTGGGGATCAGACTTTCTTAATGTACATCCTGAAAATCAAGCAGTGCCCTTCCAGAGTGTTCCAGGCTTGCACTGTGGGGCTGTGGACAAGCAGCCAGGGCTCTAAGGCTAGAATTGAGGCCCGTGACCCGGTCTGACACTCAAGGCCTCCATTTCCAGGCCCTGTTCTCTCTCTCCATCTCTCCTTCTACCTCTGTTCCCACATTCCCTTCCACCTGACACATCACTGGCCCAATTCTTCACAGCTCTGTTAACAACACTTTCCTCCACGAAGTCTCCCTGACTTGCTCCCCCTCCTTTGGGAATCAACCTCTACTCTGTGCTCCTACAGCCTGGGCAGTGCTCACTTAAGAGCAAACATGCAAAAGTTCTCTTTATAGTCTCCCTCTCCCTCTCCTCTCTCTCAGGATCCCGTGAAGCAGGCTCAGGTCTTCTGCACCTCGGAAGAGCTTGTTTTGAGTAGGGAGAGGGTAACACACGCACCAAGCCAGGAAGAGGTGAGCCTGGGCGGGGAAAAGGCCACTAAGTGTGGAGGATTCCTGGGAGGGAGGGAAGAACAGGGCTGGCTGCACCTCGGGTCCTCCCTGAGACTTCAGGTCCTTAGGCAGAGGGTGGATGAGACTCCACCACAGCCGCCTTCGAGCCTGGGCCCCGTGCCTGCAGGGGGACGATGCTCGAGCGCAGGCCGAGTGCTCCCAGAGCCAGCAGAAGCCACTCGGGCCCGGGTTTTCTGTGGGACCCTGGGCAAGTGTCTTCCCCTCTGCAGGCATTTCCCCCCTTAACGAGCAGGGAGGGGAGGGAGGGACTCAGCACAGAGAGCCCTGCAGCTGGGACACTCCGGGGGTCCAGATGGCCACAGAGCCATTCATTTCTGTGCTCTCTCCCTTTCTCCTTCTCTTAGCCAAGCCCCCAGGGAGGGCCATGCACATCCACTTTCTCTCTCTCCCAGCAGGGACACCGTTCTCCAGGTGACTTCTAGCCTCGGGCCTCAGGGGTCAGGCTGTGATCGGGCCACGCTGGGGACTGGGAATGCAGACACGAGTTCCTGGGCTCACAGCTTCTCCCTCTCAACCCAGAGCACAGGGTCCACCTGAGACCCTCCTTGAGGCTCCACCCCCACCAGGCTTGTCTGTGAGAATTGTGACATCCCCACTGCGTCCAGGCCCACCCCCACCCTCTCCGGGAAGCCTTCCAGGAATGCCCCTGTGCCCTCCAACCCCTCTTTCCAACTCTGAGGGCTGATTTGTACGAGTCTGGTCTTTAAGCAGCCTGGCTCCCTGAAGGCAGGGCCCGGCCTTTCCTATCACCCTCAGGCTGAAGAGGAGATTCCTGTACAAGCAGGGGGCCCAGTGGGAAGACCCCTCTGGCTGGAGAACCTTCAGCCGCTGTGTTTCCACGTGAACACTATCTGTGCTTCGGAATGTGTCTAGAATGGGGTTCTGGGAAGTGGGGACCCCACCCTCTCCACAGGGTTGGGATAGGTAGAGTGTGCCATTATTCCCTGTTCTGGAAGATGCCTCGGTACCGATGGAACCAGCCGTTCCCAACAGGGCCTGAGATCCAGGAGGCTGAGGCTGAGCTGGGCTGGGCTTAGCAAGTCCTCAGGAGGAAATGCGGACCTTGTCCAGGAGGAGGCAGCAGCCTCTTTTGTAGCTGTGAGAACCATAGGGACAGGCAGGAGGGGGCGCCAGAACAGGGCGCTCCGGAATGGTTGGAGAAAACAGGGGGCAGCCCAGGCTGCGGCAGGAACCAGAGCAGAGCTCACCCCCCGGCTCCTGGTCCACGGGCTAGGGGCTGAGATGCCTTATCACCTTGCTTAGCCCTTAGTCTCCTGGCCCAGACTGAATCAGGGACCCCGAGTTCCACTGCCACACCCCACACAGCTGGCAGGATCCTAAAAATACAATCTTGTAATCTCAGGACTGCGAAGGAGTATGGAAGTGATTCCTTCTGCTTGCACACCTCCATGGTCGGGGACCTCATTGCCAAGTAGGAGGTCTTTTTATTTTTTTTATCCTCACCCAAGGGCATTTTTTGCATTTATCTTCAGATGGGGGGGGGGGGGAGAGAGAGAGAGAGAGACATCGATGTGAGAGAGACCCGTGGACAAACTGCAACTGAGGTACGCGCCCTTAGCAGGAACCAAACCCAGGACTCTCTGGTCTGGGGGCGGATGCTCTAACCGCTGAGCAAAACCAGCCAGGTCAGGAGGTCTGTTTCACTCGTGGCTAGAAAGCATGTCCTCAGATGATGAGAAGTCTTCCTGAGCGGCCTCACTCTCTCTACCATCCCGTCCATTAGGAGCACCTCTGCTGTTGGACTCCGTGGGGCACAGCTGGCCCCTGGGCCCACCAGAGCTCTCCACTGGTGCAGACATGGGGGTGTCGCTCAGCATGGGATTTGGGCATCTGTCTAGCCCTCTAACCATCTCTCTCTGAAGGCTCTGAGAGCTTGGACAGGCGTGTGTGTGCACACCTGCATGGGTGGGGCGGGCCAGCTGTGCCCCTGTTCAGAGGCAGGCATTCAGAGGGAGGCTGCTATCGTGTTTCCAGGACTGGTGCCTCAGACTCAACTCTCCCTCTCAGGAGGCTTTCTGCTGGGGGCAGGGGTTGAGGCTGGAGAGTGAGTGGCCTTCAGGGTGGACCAGTGATTGCTACCATACAGCCCCACAAGACACTCCCCCCTCGCTCCCATCAGACTTTCCACAGGGCATAGACTCAGGCGCGCACCCCACCCTTCGCTCCCAAAGCTGGTTCTGAGTAAGCCCACCTGGAAGCTGGCTGACTTGCAGCCGCTGCTGCCACTTCCCCAGAGTGTCAAGCCAGGAGGAAGGCAGGCACAGGCTGTGCTCCCTGGGACTGGTCTTGACTACCTGGGGCGCTGGAGTAATACAGCCCACAACCCCCTACTCAAAGTCCTGAGGGTCAGTCTGGAGACATCTGGGTAGGAAGAGGCAACACCCCACATTCTGGCCCAGAAGCTTCTACGCACCGCATGCTTCCCCAACGAGCGCGCTCACCCCATCTTCCTTGCTTCCTGCCCTCCTCCTCTCTGGTAGTAAAGAGTGATCACCCACTCACCCTGGGGGTTGGGAACTTAGCTTACATTGCCCTCGCCCTGCTGGGGGTGGCATCGGCTAAACAAAGAGAAACCCTAATGGGGAACTTCACACACAGGGTATATAATGTGGAAGAGAGGTTTGCCCTCAAAAGGGAGGAAGTGTTTTCTTCCCCCCTTTCTGGGTTCTCGTGGCTTGGAGCACGGGAGTCGTGGACAAATCACTGCCTCCTTCCTGAGGTCTGAAGCCACAGTGGGGTAGGGGCAGAGGGAGTGCCCCCAACCTTGTAAGGGGTCCTTAACACCAGCGGCCTGACGGTGCTGCCACCCTCAGCATATCTCTGACGCTGGGTCGGGACCCCCCTCCGCTCCCTAAACCGCCCTCGGAAGGCGGGTGCAAGCCCGCGCGGAGGATCGGGCACTCACGCGTGGTGTTGTACTGGACGCCGTTGAAGTACTCGGGGCACGGCCTCTCCACCAGGGCTCCAGCCGCGCTCCGAGGCCAGCATGTCCCGATCTGGTCCAAGGTCGTATTGCAGTAGGAGTAGGGACCTGGCGACGGGAGAGAGCGGAGCGGGGCTCAGAGGGGTGCAGGGCGCTTTGCGCTCTGGGAGCGCGGGGTCCCGGACGCATCCAGCGTGCCAGGGAAGGAGCCCGCACCGCCCGGGTCCGCTCGCCTCCCGCCTACCCTCGGGGTCCAGGGGCAGCGCCCCGCCGTCCAAGAATAGCTCTCCCGCCAGCGCCAGGCTGCAGTGGGCTTCCAGCAGGCCGTGGAGCAGCGCGGCGTCCATCGCGCCCCGCAGCCGCGCAGCGAGGGAGTGTGGGTGCCCGCTCGGCGTGCTGCGGGACCCCGGCCGGTGCGACAGTGAGTGGCCGAGAGAACGCGGTTTGAATGCTGCCCTCCCAGCCCCGACCTGCTGGGCTGCCTGCGGGCGCGCGTCCGATCGCCCGGAACTGCCAAGTGGGGACCTAACGGAGAGGAGCCGCGGAGCGCACGGGGCTGCGGTCCACCCGTTCGTTCGCGGCCAATGGCGGCGTCAGGGGGCGGGGCCGGCGGCTCCTCCAGCCCGACCCGGGGTCCTGCCCGAGTCCGCTCGCTCAATCCGCAGCGAGGTCCAGAGGAGGTGGCGGGGATGGAGAGCGTGGGCCTAGGGTGGCCGAATGCTCCGTCCAAGGATCGCAGCCGCCAGGGCTACAGTGGCAGCAAAGCGCGCCTGCCAACCGGCCGAGGAACCCGCTGCAGCCTTCCTAACCGAGAGCCAGACTGGGAGGCTCGCCCCTGAGTGTCTTCCCCTGAGCAAGGACACTGGAGGGAGCAGCAGGGGGTGGGGCGAGAGTCCACGCAGATCCGCACCCCAGCAAAGCTCTCTGTGGCCTCTGGGAAGGAAGTGGGTTGGAGGGGTTTCGAGGGAAACGGAGTGGCCACCGAAAAGTCTAGTGAGAACAAGGCGCTTGAATGCCTGAAGACCTGGACCAGGCTGGGGGGGCTGGGATGGGGAGATTTCCAGGGGAACCAGTCCTGGTGAGGAAGAGTTGGTGGCCGGCCAGGTCCGGGGATACGTTGTTTGAAATTTATCTGGAGACTGACTTCAAACACCGGGTGTAACTGCCCTGGGCTCCTGAGAGAATAAAGTCTCTCTTCCTCCTGGCTGGGGCTGGCCACCTGAAAGTGATTTCTGGGGGTGTATGTGTGTGTGTGTGTGTGTGTGTGTGTGTGTGTGTGTGTAGGGGAGATCAGACCCCGTAGCACGTGTTGAGGGGCTGAAAACCTTTATGGAATTTGCTCCAGCCCCATCAGGACTACCTGCTCTGTAATTTGTGTGGCTCCATTCTGAGTGCCCAGGGTGAGCTCTCTGCTCATGTCTGCTGGGGGCGGGGAGGGGGGAGATCTAGGTCCAGGAGACAGGGCCTGGGGCACGGTGCACCCCAACTGCAGTTGGGCTCTGGTCCTGCTGTCTCTACAATTCCTGCATGTTACCCCAGTTCTTCCCTCTCTTCTGGAGCTGTTCCCACATCAGTGAGATGTTCTGAGACACCTCACAGGCCTGAGAGTCTCTGGTTCTGAGTTCTGAGTTGCAAAGAATGAGGAAGGTGTGTGTGTGTGTGTGTGTGTGTGTGTGTGTGTGTGTGTTGTGTGTTTCTATCTTGAGAGCATGGGGAGAGCTGGAACCCAGTCCCAGCTGGGGTGGAGGCCCAGGGGAACTAGTTCTGTCCCCCTTGCCAGCCTCCATTGCCAACAAAGCTGCCAGAGGAGGCTGAGCCCACCCCGAGCCAGCAGTGTGCTCTGAGCAGGGAGAAGGGAGGGGCAGCTGGGCTGTGTGCTCCAGCCTCACCAGCCTCCGTGCCAGTGCTGCTGTGACTGCCCAGGCAGCGCCAAGCGCTGGGGCACCAGACTCTCTCCAGGGCCAGGCCAGCGAGCCAGGTCTGTCCTCTGCCTCCTGAAGAGACCGTCGGAGCCCTTGGCTCAATTCTGGCCGGCTGCAGAGGCAAAGGCTCCTTGGTGTCCATCATAACCAGTGCCAGGAGCAGTGGGAGAAGCTGAGTCCCAAGCCCAATCCTAGGCAGAGTCCTGTCCCCGGTCCCAGACGGAGCCCTGCCTCACTGGACCCCACATAGGTAGAGTGTGTCTGGCAGGGTCAGCCTAAGTCTTCACTGAGAAATAGTCTCCTTCAGGCACAAAGGACAGCCCTCCACGCCCTGATCACGGCACAGAGGCAAAGGGAGAAGCCAAGCTAAGTTATTAACTGGCTCATCACCAGAGCACCATGCAGGTAAGCAGCCATGCCAGGGGGTGCGAGTGCCCAGTGACCAGCGGCCAAGGACTGCTCGTCTGACATTCATCTTTCTGCAGAATGGAAGATTGGCCTGGGTGACCTGAGCTGCTCTTAATTGGGAGCGCGCATGTAATCAAGGCTCCTCTGGGAGGCGACCATTTCAGTGGCAGGGCCAAAGGCCATTCTGCATCTTGACTGGCCAGGCGGGGCCTGAGCACAGACCCACAGACCCAAGGTCCCGGGTTCTGGAATGCAGGGCCATTTCTTCTTGAATCGGATTATTATAGGCACAATTGTCCATTATTCTCGGTGTGACAGAGAGGAAACTGGAAAAGGTAGCAGCTTGGGAACACATTGATTTCCCAGCTCACTTTAGTGTTTGCAAATAGGTAAACGAGGAAAAAATTGTCAAGAGCTAAGACGTCCCTCAATGAGATTAAACCCGACAACAAATGAAGGTTTGGGCCTTTTTGCTAACTCAGGAGGCAGAGGCAGGTGGGAGGCCTCTGAGATGCAGGCCCAGGGGAGAGGTATTTGGGACAGTGTGTGCCCCCAGGCTGGTGGGACAGGTTGCAGATAAGTTTAGGGAAGTGTGGCAGGTGCTGGGGAAGACACCTGTGTGTCATGGGCAGCACGGGGTGGGGCAGGTGGGGCAGGTGTCTCTGGCTCACCCCCGATGTCAGCGGCAGTGGCAGTGACCAGTTCCAGGCTCAGACACGCATCATGGTTCCCTGGTCACAGCCCAATGCCCGGCATCAAACAGGCACGCAGAGCGCAGTGGAAATAGACACAGCGTCACACACAGTCACACGTCTTCACAGAACCACACACACGCTCTCATTCATCCCACTGCCCGTCAAATGTCAGCTGGACAACAGGATGTGAGGGGACAGTCTGCGTGTGCACATCTGAGGGGCTGGGTGTGACCAGGCTGAAAGACGAGCATGCAGAGCTGGGGCACCTTCGTGGGGTTTACTGGGAGTTACCGCGGGGCTGCTGCTGAGGGTATGGAGGCTCAGGGGAGGCCAGGAAGTACCTCATTCTTGCCCTGTGACACTGGGGACAGTGCTCCCACTCCAGCCCATGTCCCCCCACCGGGGCACAGGGGATAAGGCCTGGTGTTTTCATGTTGAGCCCTGGGGCTGGGTTGTGAGACCAGCAACCTTCCAATGCCCACCTCGTTTACAGATGGGCAAAGGGAAGTGCGGAGGAAGAAAGAGAACGCCCCTCCCCCTTCCAGACTACCCTCACCTCTGCAGAGGCCAGGCTGGGCAGGTGACCAGGTCACTCTGCACAACAGTGGCTCCTGATGGTCCTCAGGATGGAGCCCAGCTCTCTAGCACTGCAAAGGACATTCTTTGTGATCCTTTATTTCCCATCCTCTCCCTCCTGCTCAACTTGAGATGCCCTTTGGAACAGCTTGTCAATCCCCGGAACCGCTCTATACCTCTGCCCCTTTGCACATGCTGTTCCCTCTAAGAGAAATGCCCTTACTGCTCTTCACTCCCGCGAGTCTACTGATGCCCACTCGTCTTTCCAAAGGCCAGCTTAGCTCTCACCTGCTTTGTCTTGTCTGCGTTGGGTGGCCCTCCTCGGTGCCTCCATCTGCTGGGAGCTGGTCTATGTCACATCAAGGTTGTTGGTTTTTCTACTGTCTCCTCTACCAGCCTGTGACTCCCTGAGGTCAGGGCTGGTCAAGTTCACTAGCTAGCCCCAGCGCCCATCAGAATGCCCCAGGCCTGAACTCAGAGTTGCCACTGAAGGAATAGAGGCCTTAACCCTGGCCGGTTTGGCTCAGCAGTTAGAGCGTCGGCCTGTGGTTCAGTTCCCGCTAAGGGCAGGTACCTCGGTTGCAGTTTGTCCCCGGCCCTGGTTAGTCATGCGGGTGGCAGCCACTCGATGTGTCCCTTTCACATAGATGTTTCTCTCTCTCTCTCTCTCTCTCTCTCTCTCTCAATCTCTCCCTCCCTCCCTCCCACTTTATCTGAACAAAGAATGGAAAAATGTCCTCGGGTGAGGATAAAAACAAACAAATAATAATAAAAAAGAATAAATGCCTTAGCTTCAGCTGGTCTCCTGACAAGGCTCTCTTCCCATTTGACCAGCCCAGGCGTGAGTGCGTGCATGCGTGCGTGCGTGTTGGATTGAGGAATTATTTCAAGGGACCCTTGAATCCATTGGATCCTTATATTGCCTATAGACTGAATAAATAACATGCTTTTCAATATATACCTCTGTGATGAATAAAACAAGCAACCCACGTTAAGCCTGCTGAAGTCTCTTGTGGTTATGTGTGTTTTTCCTTTCTTTGGACCTCAGCCAGGGGCATACTGTTTAACTGATCACAGCCTTTGATTCATGACCCCTTATCATCATTAGCCCACACGTGGCCTAACTTTATTTTTGTTTCGTCGTCCATGGAAGTTTGTACGTCGCAGTAAACATAATTTTGATCCCCCAATCTGAAATTAGATCATTACTAATCACTTCCGTGTCTATCTATGCACGCCTTCCCCGAGGGAACATTCTCTTCTATGTTGTGTTCATCGTGTCCTTGCACTTAGCTTTTTCAGATTTATCACTTGTTATGTCTAAACAATAGATTGTTTGGTTTTACGTGGTTTTGAACTTTATGCTAGTCTTCATGCATTTTCTCAATCAGTGGACACTGTAAAGGAGACTACCACCACGTAGGGACCTGAGCGGTTGTTCAAGTCCAAGGGCCTCCTAACAGCCCCCACGTCCCACTCAGGGGCACAGTTAATGAAGGATGATTCGTCCCCAAGCGGCTGCCAGGCAGCATCACGTGCTGGGTGAATATTTAATGACGGGGGAAATGTTCACTCTGAGTTATAAGAAGAAAGAGCAGGTTCAAAACTGTGGACACAGGATTGTCCCAGTTTTATAAAAACAAAGATGAGAAAACATCGGCTCTATGGAGTGATAAACTGATGTAGCATATAAATATTATGAACATTTCCTGGGTTGTGGGATAAGGAGCACTTATTGTCTTCTTTGATTTTTAAAAATATTTTTCCCAATTGTTCTTTCTTCTTTGATTTTTAAAAACATTTTCCCCAAATGTGTGTGTGTGTGTGTGTGTGTGTGCGCACTATGTATCTGGTTAAAAAACAGATGAACGATATTACAAGTTATGCAGGGGAAACCCTGTGTTTGGAAAAGTTGCGACCCTCCTCACTAGGAGCGGGGCGGAGAGCCGTTTATCAGGGGTCATAAGGGTCTGTACCACGTGCTGGAGGGGAAGGAGCGGGGAGAAGACAGTGGGTCCGCTAATGAGCCAGCATTGTCCCTGAGAGCAGAGGGCTCTAAAGAGGAGAAAACTGGGGTCCTCCTGATATGGGGGCTCCACTTCCTGCCTGATGTGGCCCATGCTGGGCACATCCATGGTCTCTCATTCAACCTTCTCAGTATGCCTTTGAGGTTAATTCAGACCCGTTTATAGCAGATGAGGAAACTGAGGCTCAGAAGGTATTAGGGATTGAATTGTGTTCCTCAAAATCCGTATGTTGAAATCCTGATCCCCAACACCTCAGAATGCGACCTTATTGGGAGATAGGTCACTAAGTCATTAGGATGGGCTCTGACCCCAAATGATGCTGCTCTTTTACGAAGAGGAGCTTCGGACACACATCCATCGAGGGTGACCAAGCGGAGGCCCAGGGAGAAGATGGCCACCTACAGGCCAAGGAGAGAGGCCGCAGGAGGAACTGACTGCTGGCGTCTGACCGTGGGCTTCTAGCCTCAGAATCCCGGGCAAATCAATGCCTGTGTGGAAGTCCCTCGGCCTGTGGGTCTCACGGCAGCCCCAGCACACGAATGCAGGCGGGTTGGGTGACTTGTCCACAGTCACACAGCTGCTGGGTGGAGAGCCAGGTCCCAGACTCGGGTCTGTCTGACCCTAATACCTGAGCTCTTGATCCCTGTACTGTAAGGAGGCCAGGTGACAGGGCTGGCATCTGCCTTAGGCTGACCAGCACTCTTGTCTCCGGTTCCAGGGTCACCCCTAGCCCTCCCCTTTCCCGGCTGCAGGCTGAGAAGGCCAGGACGCGGGTGGGGCCCCGGGGATGTCTCCCGAACCTGTGGGAGTGCAGGGCTGTGCGGACCTCTGCAGCGGCTGACCCTGACTCCAAACCGGCCGCTGGGAAGCTGCGGGGTCAGAACTCAGGGGCCGGCTGCTGCTGCGCAGGTCTCCTGAGGAGGGAACACGTGTAGTCACGGCAACCAGAGAGTGGATTTGACATTGTTGCTAATCTTGCTCGAGTTTAAAAGCAGAACGGCAGCCCCTCCTGGGCTCCTGGATGCAGGGAGCTGGGAGCTGGGAGCTGGGAGCTGGAGGACGAGTCCCAGCCAAACCCTTCATCATCAGGAAGGAGCCTGAGCCCCAACTGGGGAAGGGACCTACCCGAAGGCAGAGAAAAGAGCCAAGCCTGGAAGCTGGAGGCCAGTCACGGTCCACCACCCCATCCAGCTGCGGCTGGCGCCGGAGAGCCTCTTCCTCCAGGCCCCGCGGACCCACCCTCACCCCTGGGTCTGCGGCACAGTGCAGGCAGGGGCTTGCGTACCTGACAGGTTGGCGAGGGTGGTGACAGTGTGGCAGTACTGCTCCAGCAATGCCCACGGGCGCTGGTCTCCGGGTGCCTGGCGTGGCGCAGCTGCCTAGGAAATAGGAAGGTCGGAGATCAGAGGTCAGGCCCCGGCTGGCCACTGACAGCGCTCATCTGTCCCCTGCCCTGTTCCGTCATTCATCCCTTGTTTCTCTCACCTCTGCTGTACAGAGCGGGGAACTGAGGTGGGAAATGCCCAAGGCCCAACAGCAGAACAGCAGCCCGGCCAGGCCTGGACCCGTCTGCAGAAGTGATAGGAGTCTGCTCTGTCTGCCCCTCAGCCCCAGGGGTCCCCTCACCAGGGTGGGATGCACCCCTGTGCCCGTGTCCTTCTGCCGACAAAGCCAGTGGAGGTCCGCCAGCAGTTCATTCACCCAGGGAAGTATTTGTAGAATGCCTACTGTGTGCCAGGCCTTGGCTGGGGGACCCAGTGGGTGTACTCGGGTAGGATCAGGCCAGGTAGGGATCCCCTAGATTGGAAAGGTGCAGAAGGGAGCAGGGAGAGCAGAGGTCCAGTTAGGGAGCTCAGGTGTGGGGTTCAAGCCCCACTGTGGGGAGTCCCACAGCCCAGCTCAAGTCCTTCTCCTCCAGAAAAGCTTCTAGAAATCCTGCTTCCTCCTCCCCTAACTCTGTAGCCACTGCGGATCCCCCTTAGCCCTCAGCACCCCTCCTGTGGACACGGGGCCCCTGAAGACACTCTCTGCACAAGGGAGAAGGAGAGGCTTCTTTGGTGTGAAGTCGGCACTTCCTGTGTACGAGACACAGCACTAAATAGCTCGTTTCATTCTCTCAACAGCCTTGAGGTAGCTGCAAATAAACCCATTTTACAGTTGTGGCATCTGAGTCTCAGAGAAGTGAATTCACCTCCTCAGGCCACACAGCAGGTTAGGGGCAGAGGCAGGACTGGACAGACAGTCTGGCAGGTTAGGGCTTGGTCAGATAATACCCGGAAGACTGATCTTGGGTGAAGATGTGAAGGCCTGTGGTCCACGGACGCTGAGAGAACCCTGGCCCCATACAGGGCTATGGGCTCGGGAGGCCACTCGAGCACGAAGCTGCTGTCACCACAGGGGTGTGGGGGCCTGTAGGCAGAGCTGGGCCACGGGAGGAATGGAGGCAGACCCAGCCCACTGGGCAGCCCCTTGTGCAAAGGAGATGAGAAGTTAGGATTCTATAACCTCAAGTCCCTGTACACCCCATTATTCTCTTTGGTGGGGGTCATCTTGGGCTTGTGTATGATTAGTGCTTAGCTGTCCCAAGGGCAGAGAGCTGCCCCCCTCACCCCCGTTCCCAGTCCGGAGCCTGACACAGACAGAGCAGGTGCTCAATGAACGTGGGTTGGCCGACTGGACGGATGGTCCGCTCAGCCAGGTAGGGCTGTGCTCTCCCCCTGGTGCTGGGAGCTCAGGCTCTGGGCTTTTCCTACTTGTCAGATTTCCATCTCTCTGAATTTTCACGCTGAGGCCAGCCCGGGTCCTGGTTCCCGCCTCTGTGCTTGGAACCAAAAGCCCTCACCTTAGGAGAGGGCAGGGGGGAGGGGGGGCCCTGGCAGGGGGGGGCCCTGGCAGGGGGAGGGGCCAGCGGGTGGGGCCAAGACACCAGCTGCTCTTCACCTTGGGCCCTGTCCAGGCAGAACCTGTGCCCCTGGGGCCAGGCAGGCACCAAAGGTGCCACCTCCCTGGAGCCAGGGGGTCTGGCCGAGCCTAATGCTTCCCTCTGGCCTGGCGACAAAGCCTCATCTAAATTTAGCCCCTGGTCTAAGCCTGGGAGCTTTACAGGACCACAGGTCCTGCAGCCAGACTGCCAATAACCAGAGGGGAAGGGGGTGAGCCCCTCCCGGCCGCCTCCTTCTCGGTCCAAGGTCAGCGCGGACTCCTCTGGGAGGGAGAAGGTTCCTCCCCAGATTTCCCTTCATTCACTGGCTTCACTGAGCCCGAGCTAGTGACAGAAGAGGAGGAAACCCAGCCTCTGCTCCCCTCTCCAAGGAGGAGCCGAGCAGGGGAGAGGAGGAGGGGAAGGAGGGAGGGGAGAGGGAGAGAATGGGAAGTGAGGAGGTAGAGAAAGGAGGGGAGCGGGAGGAAGAGGGGAGGAGAACGCAGTTGGGGCTCAGTCAGGCAAGAGGACGCAGCAGGCAGTGCTGAGCTGAGGCTGAGACAGAGGCCGAGCCCTGGGAAGTCACATGCAGGGCAGGTACTTATTTCCAGAGTGACCGGGAGGCTTCCTGGAAGGGGTCACCGTAGACGTTCAGCACGACCTTGTCAGGGGCCGAGCCCCCAGCAGCTTCCAGCAGGCTCTCCCACCCCTGAGCCTGTTCTCAAGGGTCCCTTTTCCTGAGATGCCCACTATCCCTCCCAGTCCTAATCCAGCCTCCAACTCACCTGGAGAAACTTCCAGGTCTCTCCTTGCGGCGTTTTCTGTTGCCTCCGAAAGCCTGCGACTCCCTCTCTCCTGGCCCATCTCCTTTACCTGTGCCAAGCCCTGCGCCCTGCACACAGGTGTCTGCCGGGTGCAGGAATAGGAGGGGGGATACCTCAACCCCAAAAATGGAGAGGGAGCTGGCCAGCTGGAGGCCCTATAACAGGACACTGGGCCTAAAATTATCTCCTTGATTATCAACTCATTTAATGTCCAGTTTGCCAAAAAGCCACCCTTTTTTGGTTGTTTTTGGCATCTGAGTGTCCTAATAGTAACTCGGCGCTAAAGTTAAATCAGAATAAAATGAAATTTTTGTTGAGTGAAGGAAATCTGGAGTGGGGCTGCCTCATTTGAATCTTGGCCCCGCCATCTGCCAGCCCAGTGACCATGGGCACATGGCCTGGCCTCAGCTTCCTCATCTGCAAAATGGGGATGATGATGCTCTCATCTCCTGGGGCTGTTGAGAAGTTTACAATAGATGTGTATTTCTTTTTTTTTTTTTTTTTTAATCCTCACTCGAGGACATTTTTCCATTTTTTGTTCAGGTAGAGTGGGAGGGAGAGAGAGGAACAGAAAGAGAGAGAGAGAAACATCGACGTGAAAGGGACACATTGAGTGGCTGCCACCCGCACAACCGACCAGGGCCGGGGACAAACTGCAACCAAGGTACATGCCCTTAGCGGGAACCGAACCCGGGTCTCTCAGGACCGCAGGCCGACGCTCTAACCGCTGAGCCAAACCGGCCAGGGCGTAGATGTGTATTTCAGCGCTGCCAACAGGGCAGAGCCCATGGTAAGTCCCATGTGGCTGCTAAATAGAGTCAACATTTTTTTTTTTTTTTTTGGTACGTGCCCCTAGTGGGAACCGAACCCGGGACTCTCTGGTCCACAGGCCGATGCTCCAACCGCTCAACAAAATCAGCTTAGTGAATAATTATCCTTCCCTTCAGTGGATTCAAATGACATCTTAAAATATTCAATGTTGAATAAAGTGATTTTAGACAAACCAGCAGAGGATTCCTAAGCATTTTTAAAATGAGATGAAGTAGAAAATGACAGCTAAGAGGATACAGAATAATTCCCTAATTCTGCAAAGTTGAGACTTACTAGAAATACAAAATTAAGTAAGCAGTGCCCTCAGACAAACTGCTTTCTAGAAAATACTTAAAACGTCAACAAAATAGCAAAAACAGAGAGAAAACCATTAGCGGGTCAGGTTAGAACACACGAGGAAAGCAGTTGTGTTTCGGGAAAATTACCAGATGAATTGGTTTCTGGCAAAATGGGCCTGAGGTTCATGCCCTGAGACCCTGGGGGTGTGCAGGCCTGGCTTTGGTCTTGGGGAGGGCTGTGCAGGCGAGGGAGGGTTCGAACTCTGGAGCTGAGCCCCTTCAGGGACATCTTGGCTGAGCCCACTCAGGACAGATAGCTCCCAGAGAAGCGCCTTCCTGAGCCCCTGGGGAGGGGAAGCCTCTTGCTGCCCAAAGGTCAGGGGGGCTGGCAGACCCCTAGGGTCTCCACAGAGCCAGAGGCAAGTCCTCAACGGGTAGAATCCAGCAGCACAGTCATTGGCCTTACGCCTGCTCTGTTTCCGGCTGTGAAGAACCCTCCACCTTCCTTTGTCAGCGAAGCCCAGGGCACACGCCAGGTGCACAGGAGCACAGCACGGCCTCTCAAAGCAGCTTCCCAGAGGCCTCAGCGGGCCACCTGAGAGCGCAGGGGTCCAGGCTCGGCCCCTCCAGGCTCCTGCGGTGTGGCCTGGGCCAGAGTGACCTGCCCGCTCAGCCAGCAGCTGGAACTTCCCCAACTGCAGGTCAGATCAGGCCCCTGTGCTTGCCCAGCTCCCTGCCCTGGGATGGAAGGAAGAACCCACCAGGACCCACCCTGTCCTGCAGCCTCACAGCCTCTCTTCTTGGGGTTGGGGCTCCACGGACTTCCCTGCTGCTTACCTTCCTCTGGGATCACCCATCTCCACCCCTGCCATCCTGCCCACCTCCCCCCACGCCTGCCCGAATCCCGCGCACACTTTTTTGTAGTTTAAATGACCAGAGTTGGTATATACACACTTGGTTCTTCATCATCATTTTCTTCCCGCCAGCGTCTTTCTGGACTATCACCTCCACAGGGCAGGAGGCCCGAGCTGGGCTTCCTACCCAGTGTCCTCACCATGTGAGGTCCTGCTTCAGCACTGACTGAATGAATGAGGGAGGGGCGCCCAGCCTGTTCACGTTCTCGTCTCCCAGTGAGAAGAAATCTCCCAACGGCTGGTCGAGGACCCAGAAATAAATTCCCTTACCAGAAGCCTAGAGCAAGGAAACCTATGCTTGGGGGGAGACACGGTTTAGTTCCTCTCTAGCTGGCTACATCCTGAGTAACTCCAGACAGATAACTAGTCTCTAGTCTCAGGCTGGTCTCAGGGGTCTTCCAGGGGGCTCCGGGCAGGGCCTGGGTGACTCTAAGGGAACTGCAGACTGTTGCCTCTGAGGTTCTGGCTCTGACGTCCCCAGAACCCAGGGTCCCTCCCATAGACGCCCTCTGCCTGGCCCAGCTCTGGAGTAGCAAGCAGAAGCCTCTCCATCTAACCAACTTGGGCAGCTGGCATCATGCCCCCGAGAGGGAAAGGTCAAGGGGCAACCCAGGTCCTGACACCAGCTCTCTTGGAGGCCACTTATCCCAGGAACAAGTGGGAGCAGGCAAAGAGAGCTCAAAGCCCAGGACTTGGGGGGTTTGGGGGTGAACCCACACCACACCTCCACCCATCCCAAATAGAGTCGACAATGTCATGAAAAGACTTGGCTGGTCCAGGGGCCATCTGCCCATCGGGGCACTGAACATACCTCAGCATGGTGCCCACTCTTCTCCACCTGCCCAGACCCCTGGGATGGCAGGGCCCTGGTGTCTTCATGCTCGCTCTCTAGTGGCTGGCACGAGCCCACGGCTGCGTGTACCGCCGCTTCCTCTGCCGCGCAAGAGGCTCAGAGCCTCACTAGTGTTGGCGCAGCTAGTTCCCATGACAGCCCCATTCAGCAGCACCCACCCCGTCTCATTCTACCGATGCGGAAACCGAGGCTCGGAGAACTGGAGTCAGCTGGCCCAGGTCACAGACTAAGCAGCGAAGCCTGGCGGTGAATCAGTCTGCAGGCAAAGCCACTTTGCCACCGTCGGTGGACACTCGCTACCTGTCTGTCAAATGCCTGCTGCATGGATGAATCCTGTGTGTACATAAGGGACATCAAGCCCCAGGAAATGATCCCAAGGCCCGTCTGTGGGGGAAGCAGGACAGGCCACCCTCTGTTCCTGAGCCTCATCTCCTTATTTACAACAGCTCCTCCCACACTGAGAATACCTGGGAATCACGCCCTCTGGGCCTCACCCTACTTCTTCAGCTCTCCCGTTATGGCTCCTCTCCATCCTCCACCCCTCCCCCCGCAGACCCTGACTCTGGCCAAAGGGCACCCACAGCGTTGAGAAACCTTTGGCGCTGTTGGAGGACCCAGGGCTCCCTCGGCCCCCTTGCTCATCGGGCCCTGGGGCTGCCTGGTTTCAGGCACTAACAGGGGGGTGGAGACAGGCCTCAGTGATGGGGCAGCTATCTGGTAGTCAGTTGGGGGAAGGGTCAGAACTGGGGGTGCTGGGTGAGGAAGGGACTTGAGACTCCTGCAAGGGGAGATGGAGGAAGACCCACAGGGGAGGGGACAGAAAGGACAGGGGCAAGGACTTTCTGGACCTGAGGAGGGGCAGCCAGTATGTCCCATCACCCACAGCCTCTCCGCCCCACCCTAGCTGCTGTTAGTTTCATCTCTGCTCCACCTGCCCCCCTCAACCAGGCAGGAGATCAACATCCCAGCACTGGACACAGGGATCCCCAACCTCAACCCCACACCAAGCCCAGAGTCTCCTTCAGGAGGCCCAGGAACTGAGCACTGAGACCCCCCCCCCCAGTCGGGATAGCACTGAGCTCCCTCTCCGGGCGCCCCCACCTGGAGCCACGACCCTGCTACCCGCACTTACTCTGAGCAGCGGCGGGAGGAGGCAGAGCAGGCAGAGGAGAGGGTGTGGGACGCGGAGGAGGCGCGAGGGCCCCACGGGACGCCCCATGCTGGGTCAGGAACAGGAGCGCGCCTCCCAGTGCCCGCGTCCCGCCCGCCTGCCCCTCCCCGGGCAGAGCCAGTGGGACCCCGCCTTCCCCACCCAGCCAGGAGGCCAAGGGGAGGCCCTGGGCTGGGGGCATTCTCCCAGGCCACCTCCGGAGCGCCCGGGACACCGCCCCTCAGCCCGCCCCCTCCAGGTTATTTATAGCCGGTGCTGGGCAGCCGCTTCTTCCCTGGCAGCCAAGGGCCAGACTGCCCGCAGCCTGCACAGAAGGGGTTAATACCTTTTCTGGGCATTTGCCTGAGGGGGAGCCACCCTCCCCGGAGAGAGCAACTGAGAAAGGGAGGAGGGGGCTGGTGTGGTCCAGGCCAGAGCAGAGTGACCAGGCTTCCCCGCCCGGAGGTCATAGGCTCAGTGTCTGGGTAGCTGTGTCCAGGGGCCAGTGCCTGATGGGACAATTGGAAGCTGGATGTGGACGCGGATTAAATATTTGGACTGCGTAATGCCTGACTTCCCTACTGGGATAACTGCACTGTGGGTTGGTAAGAGAACCTTCTTAGGAAATACACACAGGGCTCCCTGTGTATGTAGGGACACCAGGTTTCTAACTTATTTTAAATGGTTCTGAAATACAGACATACACATATATACACACATATAGACAGAACAATAAACCAGGCGAGACAACATGTAAATAATAGGTGAATCTGGGCAAGGGGTATATGGGTATACTTTGAATCATTCTTCCACTTTCCTATAAATTTAAAATAAAATGCTAAAAAAAATTAAAAACAACAAGGACAACAGATGCATAATGCCAGGACCCACCTGGAGATTCTGATCACACAGGCTGGGCGGGTGCAGGCATTGGTGTTTCAGCAGCTAGCCCGGGAACCTGATGTCAGGCAGAGCTGGGCAGTGTTGGTCTCTGGTGGGAACAGGTCCCACCTGGGGCTGGGTCAGCGCTCAGCAGCCTGTGGGCCGGTTCCAACAGGTGGGCCTGGAGCAGGGTATTTAAAGGCTTAGCAGTCGTTAGGATCTGAGCAGAAAGCATCTGAGGAATGTGATTAGCGGGGCGCCAAGCTTTTCCGGAGGGTGCGCACAAGGTGGGCACAGGCCCCGGAGAACTCAGTCCGAGTTCAAGGAACTCTGCTACTGTGTTCACTCTGGTATCCCTGCCTCAGGTCCTCCTCTCCACCCCTTCCTTCGCGAAGGCTTTCCTGATTGTGCCCACATCCCCCCCCCCTGAAATCTCACAGGCCTAAGTCTTAGCCCCCCACGTTTCCCTGGTGCGGACTGGTCTCTAACTGCCCTTGGGAAGGAGGTGGTCTGCAGTCAGCTTGGGCAGAGCCCAGGGCCCCCTCCTCTTTGTACCCCTTCCCCCTCCCTCCTGTGTTGCAGGCAGCCTGGTCCCAATGGTGCAGGGGAATCACTATGGAAAAAGCTGAGGGAGAATTGACCTCGAGGCCAACCTCAGCTTGTGGGGGCTGTGCCGGCCATGGGAAGGGGTATGGAGCCCATGAGACCTGGGCACAAGTAACTGTGATGGGAGGTGAGAGACAGTTCTAGGTGTTGAGGCAGCTCAGGGCAGGGAGGGCGGGCTCGTGGGGAAAGTGCTGTAGGAGCACCTAGACGGATTTAAACAGGGAGAAGGGGGACCTTTACTCCAGATGGGAGTCAGGCTGGACAGAAGCAGGAGCAGGTGCAGGCTGGCTCAGCTGGGGGCCTGGTGGGGTGGGGACAGAGGAGGACCCGGGAGCGGCTGACAGGCTGGAAGGAGGCGCCCCTCCTAGGAGGGTCCCGGAGCAGGCACGGCGTTGATCAGCCTCTTCCTCCCTGGACAGGCCTCCCTCAAGCTTCCACATCGATGCCCTTGTTCCCCAACCTCTATCTCTCCTAGGACTGTCCTTGGACAACTAGAGCCTCAGTTTGCACAGAGATGGGGTCCCCAGGTGCCCCAACCCCAACTCCCAAAGGCATTGCTGAGCCATTGACTAGAGATGAAGAACTCCAGGTGTTGACGACACCCTGGGGGCCCTGTGTTGTCCTGGGGACTGGGACTTTGCCTGCCTCTCACCGCCAGGAACTTCTTCTCCTTCTGTGTCCTGCTTTGTCCCCTCTCTTACCAGTCTCTCCTGGGAACACTTTCTTTATAAATCACAGCAGGTGACTCCTCATCTCGGGCCTGGGGAACCTGCCCCAAGGGAACCTGGAAGGTCAGGGAAGTCTGAGCTCAAACCTTCTACATGTAACAGGTTAAAACAGACAACAATGCCGATAAAATCACACAAACCCGAGAACCCCTGGGTGTCCTTTGGAGGACTGCACTGGTAGGAGCCCTGCCAACACCTGCCATCTGGCAGGCTACCTCCCGTAGTCGTCCAGGAGCTTCCTGTGCACGGGGGCTGGCCTGGGACCGAGGGGAGCCTACTCATCTTCGAAAGTGCCTTCAAGGCTATTGTGATCATGAACGGTGAACTCAGGGTGGTCAGAAGGGAGGTGGATCGTTTGCTTTGTAAAGAGGTGGAGACTCCTCGATTTAGCTTGTCATCCAAGACGGAGAAGCTGGGAGGGCTTGGGTCTGGGCTGGGGGCGGGGGGGTGTCCTTGGAACTCAGGAAAAGACCTCAGGGCAGGGCAGGGCAGGGCAGGTCCAAGAAGGAGGGGTGGGCTGAAGGGTTTCCTTGAGGTGTGACCTGGTCAGTGATAGCCTCAGCTGTCCCCGTGTTCAGAACAAGTCCCCCGTGTGCAGCAGCAGTGTCCTGGTATTCGGGAGTGAGGAGGAGGTGCTGAGCGTGTGATAAGTGGTCGGAGGGGGATGGGCAGCTGGCGGAGGTGGGAGGGGGTACTGGGCATTTCTTGGTTTTGTCCAGAATGGTTCTGCCCTGAGACGTGCTCCATCCTCTACTCCAGGGTTTCTCAACAATTTTTTCCATCATTAGCTCCACCCCTCCCTAAGGAACCCCTTTAGAAGTTTTCCCTAACCGCCCCTCCTTATGACCTTTAGTACCACACGTGTTCTGTCCACTGTGTTCTGTGGTTCTTCAGAGACCCACAGACCGCTGTAACATCCCAGTCTGTTCTGCTCCCCAAGACCCACTTTTTGCCCCGGGAGGGCATGCTGTCCTCCAAACGCGTGACTGCATGGGCAGCGGGCTGCGATGGATTGGCCCAATGCACTCGGCCAGGCTGGACACATGAGGGGGCCGCCCCGCACTGACCATCGCTGGTTGGTAGAGACGACCCGCTGATCTGAACGGACTCCGTCAGAATCCTTCCCCGGGATTTTAAACTTGGCATCACAGAGACAGACTGTCCCTCCCTCTTGGAGACACGGAGCGACGCCCCGTGCGGAAGCTGCATGGCTGTTGAGAAAGCGGCCGCTCCAGAGGGGGCAGGGAAGATGGGAGAGAGTTCTGGTGGCCTTCCAGGCTCCGGGATGCCCACTGTGCCTCTGCCCTGGAAAGGAGCTCTCCAGTAATCTTCCCCGATCTTCCAGCCGGTTCCAAGTGTGTTTCTGTTGCTCACTACCCTAGGATTCTGAGAAGGGATCAGGAATTGAGCAGGAGTAGAATTCAGAGTAATAAGTGACCGGGGACATGGAAGACACCCAGCCCCATGTCTGGGAACCAGAGCTGTTAAGGAGAGCCCAGACTTTCTGTACAGCTTAGTGGGCTGGGGCAGTTGGGTCTTTGTAGGTGACTATAAAAGGAAAGGGTGACTTTGGGGGACTGGGGTTCTTAGAGACACTTGGGCTGTATGTGTCTCTGAGCAAGAGAGGGATGGGGCTGGCTCTGTGTTCTAGAAGTCTTGCTCCAACAGCAGGGGGCCTAGGTTTGGATGCAAGTCTGGAGTGGGGTCTGTCCTGCCCCGCAGGGCCACCACACTGACCCGTCTCTCGTCTGGGGCTGAGACTGCTGCTACCAGCTGCTGTAGCAGATGAGGTTGCCTGGGCTCCCCTCCCCTGAGCTGGAGGCCAGGTGACATCTTGTCCCCCAGGTGTCCCCCAGGCTATCTCCTTATTTTAGCTGTGGTCACACCAATTTAGTCTCAGATGACAGAGTGTGCTTTTGCAATGCCATTTCAGAACACAGTTTTCTAGCATCGCTGAAAGAACAGCCATTGCTTTTACTCATTGTTTATTTTTATTTTTTTTTCCTGTGGGATGTTACTTTGATCTCTCTCCCCGCCCCCCCCCCCCTTTTTCTCCTCCAAAATCCTGGTTCAGGGAGGCCAGGTTCAAGCATGAGTTACGATCACCTATCATCTCTGTGGTCACTCGATTCTAAAGAAAACCACGTCACCGCGTTTGATTGACAGGGACTAAGTCAGCCCTGGCAGTTTCCCTGCTCGTGCAGTTTGTGTTGGAGAAGGTTGTGGGCCTGTCTTCTGGAAGGTTCGGGCTCCAAGGGCTGAGCGGCCCTGGGCCTGGCTCCGGGTCTGGCGTCTGTGGTTTCACAGCTGTCCTCCTGTCCCCTGGGCAGCCGCTGTGGGTTGGGCTGGCGGGAATCGGGCCTCGGCTCCTCTCCCGGGAAAGTGTCCCTTCGCTGGGCCTCCAGCTTCGCGCCAGATCTGCTGAGGCCCCTGGGCTGCGTGTCTCACCCCCTTCACCTTTTCCCCAGTTCCCTGAGCTGTAAAATGAAATGATCACACCTCCCACGGAGGAGCATGGTGAGGATAAAGTGAGAACAGGTGTACACACTTCCCAGAAATGTTGTCTTGTTTCTTCTGGTTCAAAGTCAACACACATTAAGGACCCACTATGTTCAGGACCCTGCACGAGGCCTGACCCTGGGTGCCTGAAACAGAGGACCCTGCACGAGGCCTGACCCTGGGTGCCTGAAACAGAGGACCCTGCACGAGGCCTGACCCTGGGTGCCTAAGAAAAGGTGGTCGAGCGACTGAATGAATGGGGTGCCTTTGGGAGCCTCCAGGCCAGAGGCTCGGGGCGGCCCGGCACAGAGGAGTTTGGGAAGCCCTGGCACACAGGGCAGAAGCTGATGTTTCCCCCACCTCTGCCTT